GAGCGCTGCCAGAGCCGGAGGCGGCCCGAGCCGGGGCCTGGGCACAAACAGCTCCTCCGTCCAGCAGGGCGCGGAGCCGGGCCTCGGAACGGCCTGGGACAGGGGGGCAGCGGGCCCCGCGCTTCCCGGGAGGTCGGCTCTTCCAGAGGGGACCGGGGGCCTCCTCCTCACCAGGTATCGCCTGCTCTTCCCTCTTGGGTTGTTTCCAGCCCCTACTACTAGGTGTAGAAGTAAGTGTTGAATGTCGGAGCCCTTTTGCTGCCGAGGGCCGGGGAAGCGCCCGCAGTGGCTGCGTGGGGAATTCCCGTGGGCAGATCCCATCTCCCGGAGCCGGGCAGGGCTCAGCCCACACACCAGGGCGGGAGGGGTGAACCGCAGGGCTTAGCTGGGGGGAAGATCCGGGATCGCAGCTGCTCCCTGTTCACCCCTTCCCCGCCCAGGGCGGCGACATCCCGGCCCTGCGGGGAGCCAGGATCGCAGCGAGGATTGCTTTCCTCTCCCGTTCGGGAGGAAAACAAGAGCGTCCCTCGGCGTGTAGGTGCTCTTGGTGAAGGCGGCTCTTGCAGGTGGCTTATGGAAGGGTATACCTATCATCCCTTGGAAGCTGTGTCCCAGGTTTGCAAGCAATCCACCTGAAGGAGGAGCTGAGGCCTCCTGGTAGCCCCGGGGTCCCCTGTGACAGTGGCTTTCCGTGGTCGCCTGTGAATCCTGCTTTCTGGCAGCAGGGTTGTGTGTGCAGAAAGGCTGAGGGAATCCCAAATAGCCCCCAGAGTCCTTTGTTCAGGGAAGAAAGATCATCCTCGCCTTTCTCCTGCAGCACTTCCTAAATGTACATCTCACAGGGCAGCCCAAAGAGCAGAAAGGGGACCTGGCCAGAGGCAAAAGGCCAAAATCAGGAGCTTCTCCTCTGCAAAGACCAAAGAATGGATCAGCCTCTGCCCAGAAAATCCCCTCTCTGGGGTCCTGTGAAGGGAAGTAACACCAAGGGTGCTTGTGAACTGGGGAAGTGATTAAACAAAGTCATCAACAAAAAAATTAAGGGAGAAAGGGTTCCATGACATGCACTGACAGGGGCAGTGGGTACAGCTGCCCTGGTGGATGAGGAGCCCCTCTAGCAGCTCAGAAAAGCTTGAGCCTTTGCTCCCCAGTACCACAGGCTTCACATGATTCCAAACAGTGTTTCAGCATTTATCTCATTATGATGAGAGACAGTTAAAAAAAACAAAAAAAAAACCCCAAGAAACCAAGGCCTTAAAATATAACAGGTTTTGGTTTTCTTTAGTTACTTCCTGTTCTGACTTTTCTGGTCAACAGTTCAGCTGGGCTTTTTCCACTGTTTATTTGGGTGTGTAAATATGCTTATTTTGGTAGGCTGGCTGGGTTGCGACACAAGCTAAGAACATCCAGCGTGCTGTGACCGTGGGCTGCAGCTGCAGCTGGCAGTGGATGTACACGTTCCTCTGTGTGTGTGTGTGTGTTTGTGTGTGTGTGTGTGTGTGTGTGTGTGTGTGTGTGTGCGCTGGGGAACAGTGTATTTATCCATATTGGCCATGTTACCCACTGCCAGAATGATGTTAGAGCTGAAAGTCAGTGGCATTTAATGGTGGCATACTATTTGAGGCAAGAAAGAAAGAATAAAGACCCCCTTGTGTCACATGAGGCTGACATATCTCCTCAGCTGTGGGAGTTGAGAGGTGAAGTCACGTCACAAAATATCTCAGTATTTTTTAAACTAATTCATTCTGGCCTGGGAGAATCAGCAGGGTGGCAGGGACATGACATGAAACCCACATCAGGCAACTGGGGTCCTCATTGCTGGGGGAATTGCAGCTCCAGGTGACTCTCTCTGGCTTCTGGCCTGTTCTGTGTACACTATGAAGGGACAGAGAGCTAAATAGTACCTGACACCATTTGCCTCCCTCCTCAACAGCTACTGCAACTGATCTGCCTTTTGAATGCTGATTTTTGCAAAATGCTCAGGCCTGTCTGAGGGGATGAGAATGTCTCCCCTGCTGGGACTAAGCTGGGCTGCCACATCAGCTAAAAATAATTTCTCCTCCTGTGCTCCCCATCCCACAAGATGCAGGCTGTGCTGCCAGGGCAAAGCCATAGGTGGGCCTTGCACTCAAAGTGGGGTCAGTGGCTCTGCAAAGCCAGAGTTGCTCATACAATCTGTGTGTAGACTCTGCTTTGAACCCAGTTAGTTTTTGGCATGAAGTCTTGTCATGTTCCTGGACTACAGCAGTAGGTGCAGGAAAAATGGTGCATTGAACAGATGCCTGCCTTCTGAGCTGCTCCTACAGGCTCCAGCACTATCAGCAACCCCTTCCTGCCCTTACTGGATTTTGCAGCACAGGGATCAGTTGATAAAAAACTGGCTCATCTGCAAAAATCCCATCTGAACTGGGTAGACTTGTGAAACCTGAATCTTCACCAAGCCACAGCTCCCCTTTCTTCCCCGGGGACAGGGAGGTCAGTCGGGAAATTCAATCTCCACCATGGTCCAAGGGCTTCAGCAAAGGAGAGTTGTGAGGGACAACTGAAAGCACATCTCTGGCAGGTGGATAATGTACCCATTGCATATGTTCCAGGGCAGCTGAAAAAGCTTGTCCATGGACTGCTGGGAGGCTTGAGAGCCACACACCATTTCCACAGCTGACAGTTCTGAGTGAGAAGGTTTGTTCATAAAGATGTGTTTAGATACTTTTCTCAGAACTAGTTTTCCTAAGTAATTACAGAATTATTACCCAGCCCCCCAATTTCTTGTTACTAATATTTTTCCTTGCTTTCCGTTTCCCCTTCCCCCAGCATTTTTCCAGACTGGGTTTTTGCGTGTCAGCCATGCAGGCCAGCAGTTCTGGCCCAGGGTCCATTTTCCCTCCCATACTGTGTCTTTCTCTGCTGTGCAGGCACTTCTGTAGTCAGCTTGTGAAAGAAAATGTGATAATTAACAGAAAGAAACTTAATCATTGCTATGAGTGGAAGAAGACAGGTTGTAACAACCCTTGGCTATTGGCAGCAGAAGGAATGAAATGACAGGCAACAGTGCCTGCTGCTCTTTCCCTTCTTACATAGCAGAAACATCAAATTTTAAGTAGCAAAACCTCAGGGGTAAGTGAGAAGCTGTGTGAACAGTTATGAACAAGGATCTCATAAATAAACCTGACCTATCATAATTCCACGCTGTCTGTCTTGCCTAAATTTACATCAAAGATGCCAAAAGCTACAGGAAGATGGTAAATCAGCCTGTCATTGTAAGCGCAGGCACTGGTTTCCAGTAAAAGTTCTCAGAAAGCAGTTAGAAAGGCTGGATTTCTACAGTCACTGATAAGCAAGCCCCATAGGAGAAACCAGAACCATCAGGGCACAAAACTGAAAGTCTGTCTCACTCAGCATCCTTTCTGAAAGTGCATGTTGTAGATATTCCAGGAAAAAATTAGTTATAGGCAGAAGGGATCCTCCCCCTATATCCTTGGTCTGATTTTGACAGTAACTTATTGAAGGGGTGCTTGACCCAGCAGGAGCATCCCTATTCACCTGGTTCAAAGCTGCTAAAGGATTCATCACCTCTGAGGTTGCCCAGTCTCTCTCTTCTAGGCCCATTTAGCCCTGGCTTCGGGGAGTTTGCAGGATGCATGGAGCTGCATGGTTCAGTTCTGCTTGGTGCCTTCACCAGTGTGAGACCTGTGCTGGCCATGGCCAGGAACACAGTCTGGCATCTCACTGGGATGGGCAGCCAGGTGATTGTCAACTAGGAGCTATGTGCCACTCCCCAGGACAGGTGCCAGCTCCAAAACTTGCCCAGGACAGGGAAAATAGAGACATTGCACTTCCTGGAGTAGCAATTAGCAGATGAGGAGTGGAATAAAGCTGCTCCAGGGCATAAAGCATAAGTTATAAACTAAGGCAAAGAGAGGCAAAAATACAGGCCCTTGGAGCAGCAAGACTGGCTGGCATGTGGAGACCACCATGTGCTGCTGAGAGAGCATGGCAATCTTGGATGCCCATGAATCTGTCCAAGGTAGTGGGTCATGCTGGCAGGTACAAGCACCAAGAATAGATTGGAGACCTCCAGTGTGATTTGCTTCTGCTGCCCAGGTAGTGACAGCCCTCACTGCTGGAGATCCCAATATTCATGCAACCTTTTTGCTTAAAAAGCTCTAAAAAAGCCAGTTTCTCCAGAGCTCTGTGACTTTTGCACCTGATACAAGAGAAAACTTGATGGGTGCCTCACTCCCACATGTTTTATTTAGGAAACCTCCAAACCAGCCCAAACACTAGTGGTGTACATGAAAATCACCCTCTTGTGCCGAGGATGAGGTACTGAAAGAATTTTCAAAATTTTTTGTCATATCAAAGGCTGATTTTTTTAGTCCACACCACAGTCCTGGTTGTGTGCAGTAGTCAACCTTCAATTAGTTGTCGGGGAGTGATTACATTACATCGCATGTGGGTGTCGGGAGTCATTGGCCTGTCCACAGCACTGTGCATCACAGAGACTTGTCCCAGCTGCTCTGTGGCAGTCCTTTCGGACCAGTTCAGCCCCAACACAACGAGTGATGTGGCAGCTGGGATGCTCATCCCTCACACCTACCCAGGTTTGTTTAATTCAGGGTAGCACTGCTCATGGCACCTCATGCAGCTGTGTCCAGTTGTGCAGCGGTGCATAGAGGCTCAAGAAGAAAAGTGCCTTGACCTGTGTTCCCTGTCTATCCCATATCCCTGACATTTGTATGCTTCTTTTCTTTGCATTATTCCTGTCTGCACATTTGGTTTTGTTCACACGCAGACACACCGATCCACAGGCAGAAGCAGTGGTTCAAAGAGACCTTCACTTACCTTTTTGCCATCAGCAACTCAGCCGAGGCATCAGAGGCTGGCATTCACCTAGTCTCTGGGTAAGAACAGCCCCTGGGGCAGCCTTTGGTACATTTGTGCTGTGTTCTGGAGCAGACAGACAGGTTTTCTTTGCTAGAATTCAGGGGTATTCCCTTCAAGGAATAGTTTTTATGTCTGCATTCCAAAGAAAATGCATTGTAGCTGCTCATATATGATGTATTTTTAGGCAAAATTCAGGGACAGGTGTGCACAGAAAAGCCACTCCAGTCTGAGCAGCACCAAATATCTTTTAATATTTAAACTGATGTTTTCTACACTGTTACCCACTAGTTGTTTGCAGCAGGGGTCATCTCCAGAGGGGTGGGACTGCCGGATCCCCCAGCTTCAGCAGCTAGGTACAGGGATTCAGCTGGGGATTGTGTGTTGGGGATGTTTTATGCTGTCTATTATCTACTCAAAAATTCTCCTCTTGGGAGTATTGAAACTGAGCACTCTGTAGCTTTATGGATACCCCAGGAATGGTGAGCAGGTTTGCAGGTGGCCCCACCAGGTCCACCAGGTGTCTGCAGTTGTGGTGGGGACACTGAATGAGGGCACTCTGTACATGCACCATCACTGGAAGGGCTCTCTGCAGTTTATTTACCCTGATGTGCCACCCTCAAGCCCAGCTGTGCTGACTCAGGCAGGTATTGCAGGAGCAGGAAGCGATGTTTACCCATTGCTGTTAACCTTGCAGAGCTGCACTGATGGGGGAAAAGAGGTTCCTGAGCTCCTGGGTTTGTGCAAAGATTGCCATGACACATAACATGGCAGAGCAATACCAGTGAAGTTTTCCAGGTTTTTCTCTGTCTTTTTAGTTGGCAGGTCTTCAAAAGCACTCCCAAAGAAGAGCTACCTTTCTGGTCAGATATTGTGCTGGGATTTCGAGCAATGTCTGAAGCAGAACTCCTAAAGTTCCCACAGCACCGATTTGGTCAGGCCTTTACAACTCTCAAATGTGACTGCCCACCCTACCTGTTGTGGCTGGAGAAAAGGTAGGTTTTGCTGCAGGCTGGGCATGCAGAGGGAAACTCTGGCAGAGGGACTGGAGGCAAGACAGGGTCTCCTTGAGAGCCTTAGTTTTGAATAAAACTGGAAAAAGGCTGTTTCTTCTTGCAGAAAATGCAACAAACTCTTGCTTGGGGAGAAGCACACAAAATAAATACCCAACTTTTCTAAAATGTGAAAGGCCCTGTTTATGCAATGTCCACTTTCTCCCAAAGTGTCTTTACAGTGGGCCTTAGAGTGTGAGTGACCCTGGGCAAAAGCCAACATAGCCACAGGCACCATACTTGGCCAGCCAGACCTTGAAGGTACATCAGGAACCTGCCATGTCCTGAGAAAACATTTGGCTGCTCCACATTTGCCAAACTTCCCAAATTATGTCCCTCTGTTTTTGAAGATTCATCCAGCCCCTGAGAGAATAAGCACATCTAGGAAGGTGTCTTATTGCAAAGACTTTGCACTTATGAAGTAGCTGGACCAATTAATCTCAAATTTGTTCAACAATTGGACTAATTTCTTAATCCATTTAGATGAAAAAAAGCCCAAAATGTTAAAGAGCATCGTCTTAAAACAAATTTTTTGAAAATGTTTGCCTGCATGAGATGGGTGATGCACTCAGTCTGAGGAGTAGTGGCATCAGAGTTCATGCCTGGATTGACATCAAAGTTAGAAAATCTGCCAATTTTTAAGTTTCCCCTCAATACCTCAATTTTGGAGAACCATAGAAGAGACAGGATGCAGATCTAAAAGGGCTTTGACACCCTGGGACATACTGGGATAAGTATTTAATCTGAGTAAGTACCTCTAAAGTGAGCAAATGGCTGTATCCACTTGAGAGAAAGAGACAGGCTGCAAGCTGATTTGGGGTTAAGTAAAGAGATGTGTACTGACACCAAGGTACAAATTGCCAGCTCAGCTGGTTACTTGGATGCCTTTTATCACACTGCAAAATGCGAAAAAGCATTTCTTCTTGTAGCAGCCAGGCGAGCTGGGAGTTCTCCTGTGGCACCAGTGCCGTGTGGGGTCTGTGCCATCTACTCAGTACACATGATCTGTCATATTTCATTGCCTAACTGAAGCAAATTTCTGCTGCATGACAGCTAAGTTGTACAACCCATTTAGTATCTGCCATGTGATTTCTGCTCCCTCCTCGTTCCTGCTGTAGTCTTCTTATTTCTCAAAGGATGTAGTCTAATGAGATGATCAAGCTCTTTTTTTTCTCTTCTCCCTGGTGATGAGAAATGAGAGAATATTAAACGTGTAACTAATTCTCAAACCCCCAGTGACCTGAGCAGTATTTATAGACCATTCTCCTGGCAATCCACAAGGAAAATTGTTGTGCCCACCTTGCTTGGCCAAAAATAGACTTCAGGAATTTTTTCCTGCTTACTTGCCCAAATGCAGGAGTTTTCAGCAGGTTTTTTCACTGGTGTATTTTTGGTGGCATGCTGACAGAGTCCCAGTTACAACTCTTAGGAGCTCTCCCTGCAAGTTGCCCAGCCACAGCTGCTGCATGAGGTCTCCCCTGTTTTTCCCAGACAGCCTCAGTGTCCTGCTACATCAGGCTCCAAAGCATCAACTGTGCCCTGGATTCTTGACTCACTCATTGCTCTGTGGGAAACCACTGCCTTTACAGTGGGATTGATGACTTTGCCAGATGCTAGAATGTTGCAGAGGATGGGATTTTCCACTTAGTGCATCACAGACCTGTCTCCTGACTTGCTTATGCTAAAATCCCCAGCAAAATCCCTGAGCAATGGGATCCAGCTGACAGCATGCAGGGACTCCATCTCATACCAGTGATTTTCCACAGGGAAGATCTTCAAAATTCAGGCAAGTTCAGAGGAGGATTTGGCTTGAAATTGAGCTTAAAAATGAATCTCAAGAAGAGGTGACTTTCACTGAAGAGTAGACATGCATGTATAGTGCTCTGAGCCATCTTGGGTGACGCCTGGCTGCTGCTCCAGAAGGTTATGGGCACTCTGGGGGTCCTGTGCCACATCTGCCCAGCCTTAGTGCAGATCTCAGGGCTTGGCATGTGGCACTAGATGGCTACGTAGCTCAGGAATGAATGAATGTGACAGCATTGGGAATGAATGTGACAGCATATAACAGGCAAATTAAAAGGGACATAGTGCGATAGCTCTGCCACTAGCATGAGCAAGCTGATAAATATATATTTGTTGTTTCCCAGCTTGCTTGGGCTCTCAAAGCTTGGTACTGTTACAGAAATTAATCAAGACCACAAGGACCTGACTGTTTGCCTAGGGTCTGATGCCAGACCCTTCTCTAAAACTGCTTAACTTGCTTTTTCCAGCCTGACCAGGCTAAGTACCTTTGGTCAAATCAGAAAAAATCACAAACAGAACTCCCATGGCATTTTCTTTTCTTTTTGTCCCATTTATTGTTTGGTTTTGATCAGTATGTAAAGGCAAAGGCAATCCATCTCATTTACTTAATGTTCATAATAATTATGTAAGGGTTTAGAGGTTTCTTTTCTGCCTCACTTCTGGAGTCTTTTTGCAGGTTGAAGGCAACTGGCACCCAGATGTACACCAGGAAAGTGGCAGACTTGTGGGAACTGCACAATGAATATGACATCGTTGTCAACTGCACAGGCATGGGAGCTCACCAGCTGGTGGGGGACAAGCAGCTCTTCCCTGTCAGGGGACAAGTACTCAAGGTTCATGCTCCTTGGGTGAAACACTTCATCCGGGATGGAGATGGCTTAACTTACATCTACCCAGGGATACACAGGGTGACCCTAGGGGGAACCAGGGAAGAGGGGAGCTGGAGTCTCTCCCCTGATGCTGGCACTACTAGAGACATCTTTGATAGATGCTGCTCTCTTGAGCCCTCACTGCATAAAGCTCAGGATATCCAGGTGAAGGTGGGCCTGAGGCCGTCCAGGCAGTGTGTGAGAGTGCAAAGAGAGGTTTTGAGCCAAGGAGGAGTTAAGCTCCCAGTGGTCCACAACTATGGGCATGGGGCAGGTGGCTTTTCAGTGCACAGGGGCACAGCCAATGAGGCTGCTCGCCTGGTGGGAAAGTGCATTTCTGCTCTGCAAGGCTCCTCATCGAGGGCCAAGCTTTGAATCCCAGATGCTCCTTTTCCATTTACAGCTACTGCTGCATCTCCTAGCAGCAGCTTGATCTTTTAGTCCATTACTGTATAGAAGGGAACTAAATCAACAGCTTGTTCCAGTGCAGATACTCAGTGGTATCTTCTATCACCTTGGAAAGGCATAATGTGTTGATCCAAGTATTAGTCCAGCTGATCATCTCCTCCATCTGCCCTGGCATTTGTCCTAGCCTCATGTGAAGAAGACAAGATAACATAAATACTCTTCACATAACAGGGTTCAGATTGCTGCAGTGTAGTGCAAATAACATCAATTCAGCATTTCTGCATCTGCATCTAAAGGGTGTCAGATGCAGTAGGCTCAGATTCAGTAAAAATAAGTTGTCTCCTCTTGTACCAAATCTAATCTAGAATTGCCCTTGTTTATCATTGTCTATATGATTTAGAAGGAAAAGAAAACTCCATGCAGCACCTCATTACAATGCTTCAGGTCAGCTCTTACAGAAAGCAGTGTTAGGTCACTGTCACACACAGTGACCAGGCAAATGTGATTTTAAGAGCAGGTCTGTGATACCCATCACTGCATTTGCTCATATTGCACCTCAGGGAACTTACAGTTTCTGCTAATACTGCCCCACATGAGCTACAGTTTTGTGCATATTTTCTCACACTAGTTTGCAAATCTGTTTTCTTCCTTCAAGGCACTCAGATTTTGCTCTCAGACACCAATGATTTCCCCCCATCTCCTCCCCTCCTCCCCCGCACAGCAGCATTGATATGGCCTTTGTTCTGTTGAAGAGGATTTTTCAGAGTGGGCTTGGGAATGCAACATCTCTTTTCTACTTCATAACAACACTGGCTGTTTTCCTTGCAACAGCTGATATGAATAAATTGGAGACAATCCTACAAGGATTTTAACACCAGCATCAGTTTCATAGAAGAGCCATTTAAGACAAGATACACACTTTAAAGAAAAATTTGTCTGTAACTGGACATGAACAAGCTCTTCTGCTGTAAAAAGGCTGAGTCACCACAGCCCAGATCTTTTCACTCCGTGGCAGAGGCTCTGTTGGGCTTTACACCCCCCTCAGCAATTCAAGCCCTTTGATGTGTCTGAAGATAATCACTCCCCAGAATGGCATCTTACCATCAAAGTACAGGTTTGACTCTTAGTGATTAAATGCCTCATTAAATCTTAAATGGCTCACTTGAGAGTGTTATCATCCATTTCTGTCTAGCTTTTTTGTCCATAGAATTACAAAACTATTCAAAATCCTTCAATAATTTCAGTGATTAAAATTAACTGATAAATAAATTTCTAATAGTGGATCAAAGGTCACTTCTGTAGTGTTTCCTTTCATAAGCAAGGGATTTTCTTTCATTTGAGATGGCAAGAAAGGCCACATTCAGCCATGGCTGCCAACTCTTGCTGTTCTCAGGGGTGATGAGGACAGTTATCATTTGCAAGGGACAGCTGTCAGAGGAAACCAAATTAAATTATAGGTCAATAAGTGCCTGGGACCAGCCTAAGCCAGCCCTGCCTTCAGCAGCCTCGTCCTCTTTTCCTCAGTTCTGAAGGCTAATTTTGCATTCCCCCCCTCTATCCCCCCCATTTGTCCTTTCCAGTGGTATGAGAGGACAGAGCTGCAGCTTTTGGCATAGGGCTTGTCAAACTGCAGCTTTGTCCTCAGCTAACACAAAACATAAAAATACATGGAAAAAGAACTTAAGAATGGATTCTTTTTTCTTAATCTTTATTTTAAGCTTAAAAATAGCAAACTGTAACTTACCCTGGAGCAAGAAACACTACTACTAATAATAGGGTGATCATAGCTCCATAAAAAAAGCAAAGCTATGCTTGTGCACTTCTCTGCAGGGCGATGGTGTTCTTCTAAAATTGTCTGGTTGATACAGTGTCAGAATAGGTTTGGCTGCAAAGTTCATCTCTCTGGTGTCCTAGCTCTGCTCATGTCCAGCAGAGGAGACAGCCACTTCTAGCCTAGGATCTTCCTCATCTGAGGGGTAGCTTAGTGTTTCAGATGATTTATCTTCCACACAGTTGTTGACTTGCTTCTAAAACCATTCTAAACCAAACATCCTGTGAAAACAGGTTCTAGAAAGGCAGAAACTTCTTTGTCTAGGAGCAGAATTTGTTGCCTTCAACTTTGTCTTGAACCTGAAAACATTATCTGATGCCACTTTCTTGCATGCTATGAGAGGTAGTGACTCCATAGCCCATTTTTGTTTAGAAAGCTCCAACATATTCTCTCTCAGAGTCTTCTTCCCCCACCTTGGAGTATCTTGGTTTACATAATACAAAACTTCCTCACTTTCACAAGCCCTGGTCCTCATGGGGACATACCTATTGGAGAAAACAGCACAGTAAAGCATAAGCAATCCAAGAGGTTCCTTCTCCAAGTGACAGAGCAGCCAACAAGGCAAGGTGCTGTGCTGGACCCTGTTCTTGCCAACAAGAGGGGCTGGTGTCCCAAGTGAAGTTATTTCTCAGGGGTCAGCTTTCTTAAACAGCTGGTGCTGTTTAAAATCTTTGTCGGTGACACAGACATTGAGATCAAGGGCACCATCAGCAAGTTTGCCAATGACACCGAGCTGTGTGGTGCAGTGGACACACTGGAGGGAAGGGATGTCATCCAGAGGGACCCTGGCAGGTTTGACAAGTGGGACTTTGCAAACTTTGTCATGTTCAACAAGGCCAAGTGCAATGTCCTGTGTCTGGGGTGGGGCAATCCCAAACACAAATACAGGCTGGGTGGAAAATGGACTGAGAGCAGCCATGAGGAGAAGAACCTGTGAGTGTTGGTTGAGGAGAAGCTCAACATGACCCAGCAGTGTATGTGCTCAGAGCCCAGAGAGACAACTGTATCCTTGTCTACATTGCAGCAGAGTGACCAGCAGGTTGAGGAAGGTGATTCTACTCCTCTGCTCTGCTCTTGTGAGACCCCACCTGGAGTGCTGCAGCCAGCTCTGGGGCCCCCAACATAAGAAGAAAATGCACCTGGTGGAGAGAGTCCAGAGGAGATAATGAAGATGATCAGAGGGCTGGAGAACCTCCCCTATGTACATAGGCTGAAAGAGCTGGAGACAGCTCTGGGGAGACCTTACAGCACCTTCCAGTACCTAGAGGGGGCTTACAAGAGTTGGAGAGAGACTTTTTGCAAGGGCAGGACAAGGAGGAATGGCTTTAAAAAGAAAGTGGGTGGATTTGGATTAGAAAGAAGTTCTTCACTTTGAGGATGGTGAGGCCCTGGCACAGGTTGTCAAGAGATGTGGGTGCCTTATACCTGGAAGTATTCAAGGCCAGGTTAAATGGGGCTTTAAGCAACCTGGTCTAATAGAAGGTGTGCCTGCCCATGCCAGGGGGTGTAACTAGATGATCTTTAATATCCCTTCTAACCCAAACCATTCCATAACTCTCTTCCCTTTATAATGTATACAAATGCTTTATAGTCATTAATAAGCATTTAAGTGTCAATGAGATACTGTTCTGAGTAGTACTAGCTGTTTCAGAGGCCATGGTAGAGGCAGTCTTCCTCCCAGCTCAGCCAGGTGTTTTTCTCTGCTTCATCATGAGATGGGTTTTGCAACTCCTTGAGGCAGTTTGCATTTTACTGCCTTGAACAGACTGGTACCACCAGCAGTTCGGTCATTTGCCTGTCTGATTGGTCTGTGGATGAACACTGGCCCTACCACAATCCCTCCAAGATGCAATTGGTGGCTTCTCTCCACTGTGAAGAATGGATGATTTATCCTTACCTTGTCTCTCTATCCTGTATGCAGTTGCTGACTCATGAGAGGATCTTCCCTCTTATCCCATGCCAGATTAGCTTCTTAATGGGTCCTTGGTGACAGATGTTGTTAAAGGCTTTCCAGAAGCTGAGCAGATCACAGTGAGCGGATTGCTCTCATCTGCAGCTTCACAGTTTCCTCTGAAGCTGTCAGAGGGTGGTGGTGCACAGACTCATAGGTTCTCACTGCAAAGCTCTGCCAATTCTCCCCTCTTAGTCTCTGTCTCTCCTTGCAACTATTCTGTTACTATGGCTTTTGCTGTTTGCTTGCCACAGGTGTCAGATTTAATGGTTTGCATTTCTCTAGATCCCTTACAGTGCTTAAAAGAAAACAGTATCACTTGCCATCCTCTTTTTTCTTCAGCTGTTTTAAGTAAAGGCTTATAAACAGGCTCTTACAGTGCAACAATTTCCATTAGCATTCCTTAAAAACTCACAAGCAAGTAACATCTGCTTTTCATGAATTTGTTACTATCCCTTGCATTTATTTGTTCTAAAGTCTCATCTAATGACCCTTCAATCTGAGGCAGCTTCCCTGCATTATCCCTTTAACAAATGGTTCTGCCATGGGAATTTCACTAAGCTTTTCTGTGCTGAATGCAGACACAAGTAATCTGTTTAGCTGTTGTGTTAGGATGTGTTTTCTCTCAGACTCCTTTGCCACCCTGATCACTTGATGACTGCACACCCTGGACACCTGCAGAGCCCTCCAGCAGGCTCCCTCCTCCTGCTAGGAGAGAGGAGGCTTTTTGTCTAGTAACTAGTTCCCTCAAAATATTTTTTTAGTCTTCCTTTCCGTTTCTGCTTTTAATTTGACACAGTTCATGTCCTTTCCCTAATGCGGAAAGGATGTATTTTGGTTCTTTACCATGTAATTTTTATCATGCTATTACAATGACCTAGTAATTATCTTCCTTCTGGAATATGTCTGATATTTCAGACTTGTGGTTATAAAGATGTCAAAATGGCACCTTTAAACAAATGTCATCATGGTTCTCTGCTCCTCTCTTCCACCTCACTTCCCCAGTTTCTAGCTTGAAATTCTTTTTTAAATCTTACTCCTTCTCACAGAGGTTTTCTCCCTGATTAAAATCATGCCACAAAAAGATCGAGCGTTCTATTCAGAAACATCATCTTTTTGTTCCAAAAGCTTTCAATTTGACAAGAAGATGCCCTAAGATTTTGGGAATAATTGAACATCCTTCCATTATGCTTCCCTAGGCATGGAAAATTTAAATAATCTAAAATATATCTTAGATACATAGTGATACTGCCCTGTGCCAGCTGTACACCTCCCCACAAAGGGGAGTCACACTTTCAGTGCCTTCAGACCAGCTCACTGACACTCACTGCTTTCAGGCAGTTGAAGTTTGTTGAGATGAGTCCTGTCTTGATCCAGCTGCCCAGCCCCAGGTGTCAGCCTCTGACAATATCTCATCAGCCATCCCTGAGTTTCTGGTCCTCACCCAAGACTCATGCCAGGAGCTGAAGCAAAGCTGTGGCCTCTGTTACCTCTCCAGCTCCAGCTGAAGCTGAGCTGGCAGCTGAGGAATTTTCAAAAGTCCATTTTGATCTTAAATCTCTCTGTGCTGCCTCATCAGCTCTGCAGTTTTCATCTGAAATCACAGAACAAGTGTCAGAGAAATACTCACATTTGGGAGAGGATTAACAGTGGAAGGTTCATTAAATCTCCCTGACCTCCCCATGCTGATGAAAGGTGTCTTGAAAGAAAGACTTAGCTGTCACCTGGACAAAGCATTTTATCCCTCTGCTGTTCCTTAAGCCCCTGCATGTCTGGACATAAGTTATCCAAACTGTGCTTGAGTATTTCCTCCTTATCCACACTTTCTGATCTACATTGAAGAGGCACCCCTGGCAGATGGCAACCAATCTGTCATACTCACATGGAACTTCAAAGGTGTAATTGTGGTGTAGAAAGAGAACGATTATATTTTGAGACATTTTTATCAATCCTTGTGATTCCAGAGAGCAGATGGGATGTGTGATGGATTTTAGAGCTTGAGCACAAAATAATAGTTTTCTGCAACGGGGAATTTTGTTGATTTTCTTCACAGAAACAATGCCATAAAGTCATATTGTCCTGATGTAGGCTTTTGCCTCTAAAACAAATTTCTGGAAAATGCAGGAAAATTTTCATTCACCATTCATTACCATTCTCTTCAAGTCAAGGACTATTTGAGATAAATTGCAAATTCATTAGGAATAAATGTAGCAATTAGAGATAACATCATGGCCTGGACCGAGATTTTTATTGTTTTCACAGCAATCAAGTGGCTATTGTTACGTTGTCCGCTGCTCTATTCCCTGCTTTCCACCAGAGGGAGATATTGGATCAAGCAGTTGCTGAAAAAACCCTCACACTCCATCTCAAAGAGCAAACGGAGTGATGCTTAATTCAGCGGAAATCTGTGTGCCTGTGGGGCTCCCACACACCTGCAAGGCTTGGGGGACTTGGGTGCTTCAATAGAGCTCTGAAGAGGGATTGTGGAGCAATTATTTACGGAGAACACGTAAAAAAGTACAATAAAATATGAAGGTAGCAGCATAACAGAAGCGGTTGTTAACAAAAATACCAAACAGCCAAACAAACAAACAAACAAAATAATAATCCTAGATAAAGCTACTGCTATAGCAGCGTGTCCCAGAGTTTTTCCCCTACCAAAAGGCTGGAGAGGAAAGCATTGTAGTTCCTCATGTTGTGGGTTCTTGGGGTCCCCCAGCCCCTCAAGTTATGCTTGGGCTGGACATTTTGTGGGGCACTGGTCCATGTGTCCAATGGCTCCTGCCCAGGCTCCTGGTGAGCCCAGACACCATTCTGGGTGCTCAGGTATTAGAAATTACTGGTGCTTCAAGATCTGAAGTGGACTGGTTTCTTTCTGGGAATTTTTCCCTCATGTCTGTTTTTCTCAATGAAGAAGTAAAAATTACGTATTTTGGAGAAGGAGGAGCAGACACGAGTAAAAACCCAGGCTTATTAAAAAGCAGAGGTGCTGGGAAGAAAAGAAAGGGGAAAGAAACTTTTCTGAAAGTGAACAGTTTCATACAAAAGGTATTTCCAAAAGTAAAAGCAGTTTCAAGGGAATATTTTTCCTGTGTTTTGCTTTCATCCTTTGAGACTTACACGGCTGACAGCAGCCAGCACTAGGGGAGCACTACCCCACATCACTTTCCTGTGTTCCTGTTAATGTCCATTATTCACCATAAGAACAATATATCTCTCACACAGTAAGACACATGAACCATGTGCATCATATGCTGTGCTCCCACTGTTGTCACATCTCCCACCTTTTGATTCAACTTCTCCAAAGTCCCAGTCAACTAGCTGATATCTAAGCCTTACACTAGCCTTTCCTTCAATTTGTGAGCCAAACAGAGGAAGGGAGGTTTGTTTATTCTCTGCGCCATCAGAGAATTAAGTAACTGAGCCAGCTGTCAGTGTTTCAGAACCTGTGTGTGAACCTTTAGTCAGCATTTTGGCTAAAATGAAGTTCTTAAAAACAACCCTTCCCTCAGGGAACACAGTAGAGCCATGGAGGGAGCTTCTCTGTTACACAGAAGAGTGGTTTAGGTGGCTTAAAGAATCACCATCAAATATATTAGTGAAAACAATCTTTCATACAAATTCACAAAAGTCAGGCAAAGCTCAATGGCAAGGCTTACTCTAATACTGCATGGTAGAGGATATAGAGGATAACTAATTAGAATCAATTTAGAGTGATTTATATGGAGGCCAGGGATGTAAAAAGGGGTAATGAAGGAAAGGTTAAGGGAGACTGGCAGGTCACAAGATTCAGGGTGAACTCCCTTGCTTGCTAGACTTCTCAGAGAGGTGCCCACACACGGCTGGATTTGATCTTAGACTCACACATGGTCAATTGTTTATGTTTAAGGAATCTAGAAGCACTTAAATGTTAGATTAAGCAAGGATCAACTACAAACAGCAATAACAATTATGGATTCAAGATAATAATATGCATACTATGTTTGCTATAGGGTGTCCAAGTCAATACACACACCCAGATGTGTGCATGCAAATGTTCAAATCCATGTGTGGGCATGGATATGTAATGTATAAGTACAAAAGTGTACATATATTAAAACATTTCCCTCAAGACTCAGTGAAATATTCATGTCTAATGCCTTTTTGGCATTTCTTAATGGGGGTGAGGTGGGGTGTTGAGTCTCTAGTAGTGGGATATCAGTCCAGATTCTGTTTCCAGGTGACACTTCTCTGAATTTCACAAACTTGAGAGTTTGAGCACTCTGAGAGGTGTCCCACACAGAGGGAAATACTGATGCAGCCCACTGCAGTCCAGAAGAGCTCAAAGGGTCTGTCTTAGGACCACTGGTTTTAGGGATGTGAGATGTTGGCTTAAGCCACTGATATATTTTCATCCTGGCTGGAATCTGGGTTAGTTATTACTGACTAGTAACTGATTTTTGAAATTCCAGTGAGTATGGTACATTAAGCTACATTTCAGATAAGGAACATTCCAAGGCTGTCAAGGGATGACTGATTATTCCTGCTGTCATCTCCCACCTTGGTAAGGCAGCAGGAGTTCCTGGTACGGTCAGTGCCACCCCCCACCTTAGCTTTCCAAGAGCTCCTAATATGATCAAAAGATGCTTCACCACCAATCTCTTGTGGGAAGGCCTGAGCAGGCCAGAGGAGATAGGGAGGAGGGACGAACCAACACACTCATACTTGCTTTCCTCCTTGCCATACAAATGCATAGTTGGGCTTCAAGGAGATGAAGCCTCTCTCCTCTGCACAGAGCTTGCAGCCTGGTGAGTCAAATGATTTCTTGGTCTGTGGGAGAGCTGGTCTCCTTTGAGCATTCAAGGGACTGGATTTGGGCTTCTCACATCCCATATTGCTGTGACTTCAAGAAGAGCAATCCCACTCTTAGGTGTGCTTCCAATGAAAAAGCTCAAAGGATATTTTGAAATAAAGGAGTCGAGGCAGCTGAACTCCAGGGAAAGACTCCAAGAAACAACCCACTTCTCTACAGAGGTAAAGCACTGGCTAAGCACTGGCTATCCTGCTTCTGAAAATGCCTCCATAAGCCTGGGTGGGCACCTTTTTTCTGTGTGGTGAGTGTATCTGCACAGTGTCAGCACTCCAGGAATAATCACAGGACGAATTGACACAGAGATTTGCAGCAGGATAATTGCTTCAAACAGAAGGATAAATAGCTTTTTCTGGCATTTAATGGGCCTCTTAAGTGAACGGCAATAAACTCTATGCGAACAGATGTTTTCCCTCTTTTTCGTCCTTTTGCATCTCATCCATAATTATGTACTAAAATGTTCTTGTCTGGGTTGCTGAGAGCAATCTTGTTGCTGTTTGTCTTTGCAGTGTAAGACTGAGCACTTCAGCACAAAGATTGAGTGAAAAGCCCTGGATTCCTAAAGGCTCCTGCCACTATATGGCAGTGATCATCTTCTTCTTTTCGCATTAAGCCTGAGGGAGAAGTGAAAAGTTAAGGGGAAAATTTGCCTCTTCTAACTGCTGCTCTGCATGTCCCAGTGTTGGGGTGTCCCCCTGCAGGTGTTGGTGCCCTGGGCTCCAGCTAGTTCATTCCTCTGTTTTCCCAGCTTCTGGCATCGATCCATCTACAGTTCAGGAGAAGCCACATCTTCTTCATCTTTGCCTTGCAGGGGAGGTAAGTGTCCTGTGAGACATTCATCCCCACTGTGCTGACTGGACCATGGGGAGATGGCAGAGCAGGCTTTCCTCTGTAGCTGCTGGCTCTGCCTCCAGCCTTGCCAACAGGAGAGTAGCAGGCACAAAGCAAGCCCTGCAAAAAAGCCTTTATGCTTTCAGAAACATGTACTTTATCTCCTGATAAAGTGCAGAGAAATGACCTTGTTCCTGAGGAAATTCAATACATTCTGGTAAAGGGATCTCCTCCTAACAAGGAGCCTGTGTGTGAGCCAGGAGCTGGGGCACAGCCACAAGCATTAGCCCAGCTAAGTGTTCGATTAGCCATTGCTGGGAGTGATGCTGGTAGAGTTGCTACATTGCTACATTGTCACAAACTCACTCTGTCCTCCCCAGCTCATCTTCAGAGCATCCAACTGGCCTTTGCTTCCCACATCCATAGCTGAGGATGGAGGCAGACACGCTGCAGGGAGGCACAGCACATGCCAAAAGGATGAGCCCTGTGGTAGCACCTAACCTACATGCAAATTCTTGGCTGAGAAGGTCATTCCACTTTGGATCAAAGTGGTGTCTCTGCATCATTGATGCTGCTCCACATGACATTGAGGGCAAACTGCTTGGAAAAGAGCCTGCGGGAAGAACACTGAGTTTTATCCTCACCGTCTGCTCCTAGACAGGCTGCTCAGCTGCAGGGGAGCTGTGGTATCTTTTCTGCTGAGGGCAGACCATTTCTCTCCTCCTTGTTAGGATTGTACCTAAGACTTCAAAATGCAACCAGATGGAGGAGAGGACTAGCTGACCACATGGTAATAGTTCAAAAAAACAACCTTTTGTTACAGATAAAGACTGAATTTCAAACTGTCCCAAAAAAATTAGATGCTTTCCAGACACATGGATGAGGCCTTTATTAGAGGTGGGTGCATATTATCAAGTTGGCCTGCATACTGGTCCAGAACATTTTAGAAAGCCTTCTATCCTAGGAAAGCTGCTTTTCACCCATCAGGTCTCGAGGGTGCTGCCAGCCACTCCCAGTGGAGTTTTTATTGCTTCTTGTCACCTTTAATGATGCATAAATTGTACAGACACACGCCAGTGTATCGAACAACATTGAAAGACAGACCATAGAAAGAGTGCAACTACGTTAATTATGGTCTTAATTTGTTTGTGAATCTTCTACAAAAAACATTTTGCTACTGTTCTTCTCCCTGTCAGCCCCAGTGCTTTGGCTTGCACCTCATCCCCTCTTGGAGACCCCTTTTCCCTGAGTGCTTGCAGATGAAGGAAGGTCTCTCTCAGTGACATCTGCTCGATTGTTCCAGTGCCGTTGCCATCCCCTATATAAATACTTTGGCATTTGTACTGTTGTATGTAAGCCCATTAAAAACATGTAATAAAAAGGCTTATATAATTTCTTAAAGCCATCGTTACTTCTCCAGCTGTGGTGTTTTGTCAAATTCTGACAATTATAGATTAATCCCTATGCCAAATTACACTTTTTAATGAAAGACATTTTTCATCCTTGAGCTTAGAAGTGTAAAAATGTAAGTCAGATTTATTGCATCCAAAAAAAGGCAGAGATCTGAAGCCAGAATAACACTAAGGTAATCTTGAAAATACATAGAAAATAGGATTTTTAATAGAAACTCAGGATAATTTCTAAGCAAAGCTGGACATCTGGGATTACAGTATAGATACAGGAGAAATACAGATGATGAACTGATATCACAAAAATATTTGTGCAACAGTATGCGAACCATCACTACCTAATTCCTGTAAACTGGAATGTCTTTTTTTTTTACAATGGCAATATACTTTCAATTTTTATACTAATATCTCTTCAATAAAATTCCCAGCCCTTATTTTAAAAAAACGGGCAGAATTTTGATTGTTCAGAATGATTGAACAATTTAGTAAAAGCACTGTTATTCCTCTCCAGGACTGAAACACAGCTTCTGGAGGCAACAGTTCTATTTTGTAGATAGCCCAATGATTAAGGTTAAATAAATAAAGTCAAGGCCCAGGAGTAGCAGAGAGCTGCAGAGCATCTTCTCCCAAAGGGCTGTCTCATTCTTCTTCTCCTTCCTGCAGTGGATGTGTGTGTACAGGTACAGGTATGTATGAGTGCAAATGCACAAGGATGTGACTCACAGGTAAACCTTGAGCTATAATCCCCTCTCCAGGCCAACAATTATCAGCCATCTCTTTTGTCAAATTTGGAGCATGTGGCAAGGCTGTGCTGTTTGATTCCTTCTGTAGCTGCAGGGAAAGACAGCTTCTGCCTGTGCCTCGTGCTGTGCTGCTGAACAGCAAGATCAATCTTGTGTTAAGCTGCCTAAATGGCCCACGAGCTTGAGGAGAGCTAATGGGAGACTGGATGAACATATATTTTTTAGTTGTTATCTTCAAACTTACCAGTGGTGAGCTGAGAAGCAGTTTTAATGATTCACACAGCTGAGCTTTTGCCTTGACAGCTGTTCAGACATGTATTTCTCAGCAACGGTAAGTGGGTAATAGACCAATACAGCCAATTTACTTCTCTGTTGCTAACATTTAAAAGTTAACACAAAGAGATTTTTTACATAGTTTTCAGTGGGATTTAAGGCATGAGAAGGAGTAAGGGCTGTACCTACCTGGCAGAGCTGTGTGCAGGTTCCACAGAGGTTTGTCACTTGGTGCATAAAGAAATACTTCCAGGATTTTGAGCTCAAATTTCAAGGAACAGAATTGAAACCAGGCTTGCACAAAAGCCATCACCAAGAAGTCACCCAGGGAGCTACAGACTTTTAATTCCATGTTCCTCAGGGCTATGGCAGAACTTTCACACATAAATGTACAAGGCAATAAACCAGGCCTGGACCAAAGCTCTGACTGCTGCAGACTCAGGATCCGAGGCACATGCATCTTCTGTGGGAAGGACACACCGTGCTTGTGAAAGTTTCTACACAGAACATCTCTGTTTTCAAGTGCATGGAACAACATCACTCCAATTTTTGAAGCATTAGTCAGGAGTGTAGGAGGAAGGAGAGGGAAAAAACTCTTCCTCTGCTCTGTCCTGAAGAGTTTGGCAAGTGGCTCATATCACGTCCAGAGCACAAGAGTCGAAAAGAGTGTTTTTATTCATTTACTCATTTTATAGGAGGAATGTTTGACTTGTATTAGCAGCCCTTGCTAAGACTGCTAAGGCTTGCAGAATCCTAGGGAATCCTAGTGGCGATTTTCCTGCCTGGGGTTTAATTTTGCACAGGAATTGGGGCAGACATTTTAACTAACCAGAAGATAAACAGAAGCCCTGACAGTGGGTGAAGGCAGAAGATGAATGGGGTAGGAAAGGTGCTTGAACTGAAAATGGCCGTAAGAGAGAAACATTAAATAACTGCTGCAAAGGAGAGATTTCACTACCAACAATATCCCAGGCAAGAGGTAATTTGTAAGCAGCAAAGATAGCACTGAAGCAATGACATTCCATTTGTGTTATACTTTTTCCTTCTAGAGGTTTAGCACTGTGCTCTTACTACAGACAAATTTGTAAATGAGAGAGGAATTTTAACAGTTTAAAGACTTTTCCTGGAGAAACTGAGGGAGCTGTAGCTCTGTGGTACCTGCATAAAAAGTAGATACTGGAAGACCAATGTCTGATTTTGGTTATCAGGGCACGAAGCTCACTGCTCTCAGCAGAAATTGCATGCTCACATTCAGAGTCGCTGTTCCAGTTACTTCTTGCGTTTCATGGCGGCAGCTTGTGCTCAGCTGGGTCCAGCTTGATGAATGTTCCTCCAACACCATCCATCTTGCTTTAGGAGAGCAAGGAGGACAGGTTATTTGCTGCCTGACTCAAACAGAGAGCATGCTTGGGGAAAGATGTAAAACTTTGCAGAAGCTGTATTTCCCAGCAATCACCTCAAAAAGGCCCATCCTCCAGCTGGACTGGAGTTTCATGCATTATGCTAAAATTTTAATTTGCTCTTCTTCTCAACAGGCTTTGTTCACACACATATCTTTGCAGCCAATTCCTGGGGGAGGAATTGATTTATAATACACTTGTTAAAATGAAAAAGTGAGACTGTTTAAGGACTATCTTAATTCTTACTGATTCTCATGCTAACCCTGATAAGATTTCTCATTGTCCCTGAGATTTCCTGAGATCATTCTCTACCATTGTTCTCTTATTCTCTATCTTTAGAAACCCTCTGTTGTGTTTTTAACAGGCATACTTATATTCAGAAGAAATTGCAGGGCAGGGGGCTGGGGAGGAAGTACAAGAAATTAAATTGTTTGTTAAAACACAAAAGGAAAATGAAAACACCGAGTTAAATTAGTGAACTGTTCTTTATCAGGACCAGTGATAGCATGCCCAGAAAATGGGGTTTATCAGCTTTCTAAGGAAGGGAATATTTTGTACAAGGTCAGCACTTAGAGCTCAGTGATGACAAGAAGAGTGGCTGGATTCATGTATTTGAGCTTTTTGCTGAAACTGCACAATGAGAGAAGAAACTCTGATGCTAAACCAAGAAAGACCTTGTGGTTTCTATTCTGCTCAGATACACCTCTTTCATCTGAGTATGCATTGTTCAAACTTTAGGAAAGCTTTGA